TACTCGCACCAAAACGAAAGTTATCTACTCGTACCAAAACGGAGGTTATCTACTCGCACCAAAACGGAAGTTATCTACTTGCACCAAACAGAAGTTATCTACTCGCACCAAAACGTAAGTTATCTACTCGCACCAAAACGGAAGTTGTCTACTTGCACCAAAACGGAAGTTATCTACTAGCATATACGAACAAAAGCTTCAAATGTGTGTTTGAATCAATTATCATCTGGCTCTTGCAGTTTATTTCTAATCGAGCTAAGATTGAATTTCGGTCTTCGGCTAACTCGGATCTTTGCTTAACTCGGATAAAATTGGTCAGTCCACTTAGATTCGACTTATGTGAAGTTTACTGTACAATGTACATGAGACGAAATGCCCATTTTATCATTGGCCAGATCACAGCAATTTCAACATTTCTTCTCTCTATTCTAGAGGTGAGATAATCAGTTATCATACAGAATACGGTACGCATATTTTATTAATATAGCTCTCTGGTTATCCCAGATGGGCGGTTGGTTATTACATAAAATATGGTACACGTATTGTTAATATAGTTCTCTGAAATAATCCCAGTAGGGATTTAGCAGCAAGCTATGATAATCACCGTTACAACATTTATATCTTATTCATATAATACTTGAAACTACTCTTATCGTTATCGCAAATAAAAAACCTTTTATCGATATGAAGAGCACTTGTCCAAATTGCAATAAACACTACCCTTGATGTTTTAGGAAAAGCTGAAAGTTTTTGGTGTGTTTTTTTTTTTTTTATCATACGAAAAAATGACTAGATTAAATAGAAATGATCTTAAAACAATATTTACAAACAAGTGTAAAAAATGAAATGAAATGGGTTTTAACACACTACTTTTCTAATAGTCATATAGTTATTAAGTAGGGACAGTATCTTGAAGGTAACATGGCTGCCAACTAAGTAGGGACAGTATCTTTAAAGTAACATGGCTGCCAATGAAATAGAGACAGTGTCTTTAAGGTAACATGGCTACCGATGTAGTAGGGACAGTACCGATGAAGTAGGGACAGTATCTTTAAGGTAACATGGCTACCAACAAAGTAGGGACAGTATCTTTAAGGTAACATGGCTACCAATAAAGTAGAGACAGTATCTTTAAGGTAACATGACTACCAACTAAGTAGGGACAGTATCTTTAAGGTAACATGGCTGCCAATGAAGTAGGGACAGTGTCTTTAAAGAAATATGGCTACCAATGAAGTAGGGACGGTATCTTTAAGGTAACATGGCTACCAACGAAGTAGGGACAGTATCTTTAAGGTAACATGGCTACCAATAAAGTAGGGACAGTATCTTTAAGGTAACATGGCTGCCAACTAAGTAGGGACAGTATCTTTAAGGTAACATGGCTAGGGACAGTATCTTTAAAGTAACATGGCTACCAATGCAGTAGGGACAGTGTCTTTAAGGTAACATGGCTACCAACGAAGTAGGGACAGTATCTTTAAGGTAACATGGCTGCCAATGAAGTAGGGACAGTGTCTTTAAGGTAACATGGCTCCCGATGTAGTAGGTTCAGTGCCTTTAAGGTAATTTACCGACATAGTTATTTATTGATGATGAAAAACTGACTACTTGTTTTATATCAAATCAAAAACCAATTTGTCAGAACGAGAAGAAAAGCAACCCTTTTGTCAATGATTTTAAACCAAATCATGAAGTCGAGTAGAATTTATGAGGACAAATTTTATCGGAGTTTTAAATTGGAAGATTGAGGGGGGAATGGATGTTGTCAAGTTTAAATTATTTCTCCGTGTAACAGGAAAATTTGATAGATCTAACTGTGTCTGTTGCTGGCAGCAATCTCACATAATTTTTTTTCAAGTACCATTATTAAAAGAGGATTAGGTTCCTGTTTTTCTTTAACTGTCTCTTGTACCAGGAAGAACTTTGTGAACTTTGAGAAAATTGAACCTACTCTGGTAGAGAGAGAGAGAGAGAGAGAGAGAGAAAAAGAGTTTAACTGGACCAACATAAAGTCTAATTTTATTTCAATAATTCACTTGCGAGTAGAGGTCTTTATAGCAGTGGGAGGAAACCGGAGGACCTTGAGAAAACCCACGAGGTTGACAAGCGACTCTACTCCTTTTTCACGTAAAACCGGGGAATCGAAACCACGCCAGTTGACTCAATGACAGACCTTATGATGCAAGGCGCACGTGCTAACCATTCGGCCATTCCCCACCCCCATCCCCACCTCCTCAGAAACAACCTAAGGCTCTCAATTCATATACAATCGATGCGAAACTTATCTCCCCTATTCTGTAGATAACATCCCGAATAGAATATTCCTGGTTCACATCGTACATTTTTACTTGTGTTAATTATGCGGTTGGATATATGAGTTTAGGACTGTTGCTTGAATTGCCTGTAAATGTGTCATGCTTTTAACTGTCTGATGATTGAATCGTTAATCAAGGTAATTGCGTGAGAAAATTAGGACAGCTGCATTCATTCAAACCTGGCAGATTCATCAAAAATTTCAGGTAAAAATGCAGATAAACCAATCTCTTTCTAATTAATTTCTACATAAACTTATACACTTGAATTATTTCAATCTTATAATTCAGTTTTCACAAGTTTAAATTTAGACCAGAAAGATTTAAATCTTCTACATAAAAACTTGAATTAAGACCAGAATGATTTCAATTTTCTACTTTAATTCTGTTTAAATTAAAGAGAATCTGTCCATCGAAATTTGAAAAATTTTAATGTTTGATTATAAAAGTTAGAGATACATTATGGGAGATTAGATAAAGAGCTGACAGTTCTCACTAGAATAATTAAAAACAAGATAATGTAAAGGGTATTTGCTGAAAATTTCAGTCAAATTGCTTTACTATAAGCCGAGAAAACTTTATTTTAAAATCACTGTAGCCTCGATTGTCATTGTTACTGCTGTCACGATAATTAACAAAGTCTCAAACAAAGTCTCGGTTATCCAGTTTTGAGTTTAATCATCAAGGACGTTGAACAGCAGATCAGATTAAAATCTGTTGAAAATCGAAAACATATGAGGGCACCGAGAGTTGATTATGGTCTTTTCATATTGATAAATGTCTAATTAATAGTTTATATATATAACATTTCAGGCCTACAGAAAGACCTGCAATAGGCAGATTTAGCTCTTGCATAAAATTGGTTGGGCTTAACAAAATTTGATTAGAATAGTTGAGCCAGCAAATATGTGAACAGTCCATTCTGCACATTTGAATTTATTGGTATTTTGTCGTTTGTTAATCAGCCATTTTTTAATTAACTCTGCATTGTCTTCTGGGATATGTTTTCCTTTTCTCATTACAAATGGTGCTCAAAATCATTATAGCCGTAGATACACGACTCCTGTGGTGATTTAAAATGTTCACTGCCTCCCAAACAGTTGACATTATTCCATATTTTCACGGCAAGATAACAACATCAACATTGATTGAAATGGACCAAAATTGAATTCTAGCTCGTGTTTTTAATTTCGAATATTATTGATAATATTGAGTTAGAGGTTCAGCTCGGGACTTTAAAATTTATCAAGATATTCAACCAAGCCAGATTAATTCAAACTTTTATTAGATTTTCTCAGCTCTACGAACAAGAAACTTGAATCCACGAATTAAAACCTGTCTGAGCCTTTAACACTATCAAGGAAAAACAAGCTGGAAGATGTCAGCCGCACAAGAAACGACGGCCATAAACCTATCATCCTTACCCCAAATAATAGCCAGAAATAATTGGCACAGAGAATAAAGATGTCCGCAAAATTTGTTCAAACACTTTAAAGTTTGTGGAAACCGCGAGGAAACGACAATAAACAGACGGTAATCACATGCTCCGATCGTCGTAAAAAAATTTCAATGGTGAGAACTAAAACCCAGCGAAGAAATGGCGGGAACAAATTACACTTGGAGTATTGATTGCAATAAAAAAAAAACGCGAAAACTCAATGACAAAAAATAATGGAGTACCCTGGGCTGAGATGTTTGAAGAATTGAATTTCGTTGCCGAATAGAAGATTAAATAAGATAAAACTGGTGATGAATTGCGGAGGTCGCGGAGGTCGCAGCCGTCAGCGTGGAAATCAAACGCCTTTTCTAACTTGACATTCGTCATAAATGTCACTTAAGATAAATTGCAGATTTGATTGAATCTGGAAGTGAACACCAGTGTACTTTTTGAGGTTACATCGTGGTTACAGGATCGACAGGAAGTGGTGCCAAGAGATTTTTTTCAGATATTTTGTGAATAGAATAAAAATTGTGTTTAAGAAATAAATAATGCAGTTGGAATACAATATTGATAGTTGTCTGTGAGGTATTTTTTTTTAATGTCTTCTTTCAAGGCTTAGCAAAAATAAGTGGCTTATTTTCAACACAGCTTGATAAAAAAATAAGTAATATATTTTCATGGTTTGGTGGCATATTTTCATGGGTTGGTGAAAATAAGTAATATATTTTCATGGTTTGGTGAATAATGAGTATTATATTTTCATGGTTCGGTGAAAATAAGTGGCATATTTTCAAGGCTTAGCAAAAATAAATAATATGTTTTCATGGTTTGATAAAATTAAGTAATATATATTCATGGTTTGGTAGCATATTTTCATGACTTGGTGTAAATAAGTGTCATATTTTCACGGCTTGTTGACAAGAAGTAATATTTTTCATATTTTGGTGAAAATAAGTGACATATTTTTATGGCTTGGTGAAAATAAGCGACAGTTTCATGGTTTGGTGAAAATAAGTAATACATTTTCATGGTTTGACAAAAAAATAAGTGGCATATTTTCATTGTTTGGTGGCATATTTTCATGGTTTGGTGAAAATAAGTAACATATTTTCATGGTTTGGTGAAAATATGTTACTTATTTTGATGGCTTGATAAAAAATAAGTGACATATTTTCATGGCTTGTTGAAAATAAGTGACATATTTTCATGGTTTGGTGAAAATAAGTGAAATTTAAAATACTAACCTTCAACCGGACACGACCTTGGAAGACTTTTAACATATAGTTTCTTTTCTTGTTCCAAGCAGACGACATCAGCAATCTCCTGACGACATTTGTTGGTTTTGGCTCGTTCAAGTGCCGACAGCGCATCTTTACCGATTATCTTACACTTGGGTATAAAAGTAGTATGAGGTGCTGGAGGTTCTAATTCAACAACTTCCTCGTCACCATGGACACTATTATCTACATCATCTGATAAACCTTGTATATTTACAGCCTGAAATTAAAAAAATTTACTTGGTTTGATATTTGTTATTTATTGCTTGCATTGTCTGTAGAGTTTGTGTGTAGAGCTGCCCCTTCTGCACAAACTAAAACTTGTCAACTGATGACCTTAAATAAGATATACTTGATGGACTGCCTCATTAATGTAGCTTTTGATAGAATGTCTCTTTAATCTAGCCTTTAATCTAGCTGTTGATAGATTGTCTCTTTAATCTAGCTATTGATAGATTGTCTCTTTAATCTAGCTATTGATACAGTGTCTCTTTTATCTAGCTATTGACACAGTGTCTCTTTATTATGGCTATTGATGGACTGACTGCCTCTGTAATCTAGCTATTGATAGACTGTCTCTTTAATCTGGTTTTTGATAGATTGTCTCTTTAATCTAGCTATTGATAGACTGTCTCTTTAATCTAGCTATTGATACATTGTCTCTTCAATCTAGCTATTGATAGATTGTCTCTTTAATCTAGCTGTTGATAGACTGTCTCTTTAATCTTTTGATAGACTGTCTCTTTAATCGAGCAATTGATAGATTGTCTCTTTAATCTAGCAATTGATAAACTCTCTTTAATCTTTTGATAGATTGTCTCTTTAGCTATTGATAGATTGTCTCTTTAATTTAATAATAAGGTTGTGTATAGATGGTCTCTTTAATTCTTCCCCCATGTATGTGCATTGATCCGCAATCAATCACTTCTTGTGAAAAATGTTTCACATAAAACCAACATGAACGTATGCATCGAGAATCCAAAACTCAAATTCTTTTTTTTTTTTAATTATCCTCAAAGCAGACACAGAATTAAAACCAACATCAACACATGCACCTAGCATCCAAGCATCCAACTTAAAATTCTTTTTTTTTTTAATTATCCTCAAAGCAGAATCAGAATTAAACCATAGTTAATTTTGTCTCTGAGTAGAATTTGATCAGAATCTGAGAACAGATCGCGATACCATTGCCTTGTAATCAATCCATCGATCTCTTCCAAACCATTGATGATTTTCAGCAATCTAGAAATCAATTCACCATAAAGGGCACCATACTGATTAAAAAGATCAATTCAACCAATCAAATTCAGGTAATTTTATAGATTTTCTGTCCATGTTATATTTTATTAGTCCCGACACAAATAGCCGAAAATCGTGTAATTTGTAATGTACAGGACGTTTACGAGGATGTTCTATTAAAAGGTAATTTTTGAATCAGAAGCTGAAGATAGAGCCGATTCCACTTGTGAGGCCTCTCCAATCCCCCACCCATACGACTAGGGGAAGATGAAAGCATGTTTTCAACACAATTGAGAAAAGTCGAGGATGATAATGGAAGTTTAAAGGAGCTAAATCACTAATATTTGGGACCTAGAAATTGACAAAAGTGGGTCGCAACGCATATAATACTGTAATTTGAATGTATATAAACTGATTTACATTCAATGGTTTCCGTTTTTACTCCAATTTCAAATCAGTTATGTTCGGCGAAATAAGCCAGCAGTCTCAAGCAAGCACAAATTTCTAGCGTCTGGTTATTCCAGTCTACATGTACGCCGTTTGATTTGGTGCAATGTGTCTAGACTCGTCCCTCGAGTCTTGATGCAACTGGGGCTGCAGCACATTATGGTACACGATTCGTGTACCAATGGTAAAATGTTTATTTTGTCTTAAATATTGGATATCAAAAGCCCATCTTTTCCCAGTAAGATCACAACATGAATGTTGATTTATATTGACAAATAAATCGTGTTTTCAATGTTGAAGATTTTGGATGATATTGAGTTGGAGACTTAGCTACTTTCAGACTAGGGGCGTTGGATGGCTGAATGGTTAGCGTGAACGCGCTGTATCATAAAGTCTGTCATTGAGTCGACTGGTGTGGTTTCGAATCCCCGGTTGTACGTGGCAAGGAGTAGGGTTGCCTGTCCAACCTCGTGGGTTTTCTCCGGGACCTCCGGTTTCCTCCCACTGCTAAAGACCCCTACGCGCAAGCGAATTATGTAAATAAAATTAAACCATATGTTAGTCCCGAAATGACCTAGTTTTGTGTCGAGTGGACGTTAAACCCCATCTCTCTCCCTCTCTCTCTCTCTCTCACTTTAAGACAACATAGTTCAACATTGTATACTCAGCTTGTAAGTCGACACCAATCTTTAATGCGATAAAATATACAGGGATAGAAATAACATTTTGAAATGAAATGATGTGAGGTTTAACATCCTACTGTTCTTGTCCACCTGGGCTAATGAAGATGGGCATATGCCATACAGTGTGCTATGAGGGAAATTTTGCCCGGGCAGCGGCACTATGGCCTACTCTTACATGCCAATGTATAGACGGGTATTGGGTTTTCCATCCCATTCAAAAACATTGCGACAAAGAGCAGTTAGAGGATGTCCTGAAAAATATATCGTAACAGCTCTACACTTATAGTCCAGATTAAAAAGTATTAAACCCCATCTCATTTCATTTCATTTTCAGACCACACACAGTAAAAAGTCGTCTCCCAAAAACATACTGACCCAATTTGTTCAAATCAATTCTAACATAAATTTGGTCACACAAACTTCACACTACTTTTTATTTATTTTATGAAATCATCTTTTTATCTTCTGAAATGTCAATCGGCACCGGAAATGTCTGTGTCATTGAGTCAACTGGTGTGGTTTTGATTCCCCGGTTGTACGAGACAAGAAGTAGAGTCCTCTGTCCAACCTCTTGGGTTTTCTCCGGGACCTCCTGTTTCCTCCCTTTGCTAAAGACCCATGTGTTAGTCCCGAAATGACATATATCTCTTGCATGGGGGGGGAGGGGATTATTTCATTAAAAAATTAATGCAATTTGAACTGGACGTAGATTGTAAATTAATTAATAAGCAGACTGGTAATAAAGTAACTCATCCTCCCCTCCCTATGCGTTCAATTAATCTACTAAGTCTTATTGGTCGACAAATCGGCTTATATTCTGTATAATTGAGCTCAGGTATCTGATGTAGGATCTTTAAATTCTTATTGCTATATCCAGTGGATCAGTGAAATGAAATGAAATGAAATGGGGTTTAACATCCTACTATTATGCTCTGAACTGGGCTAATGAAGACGGGCATACGCCATACAGTGTGCTATGCGGGAAATTTTGCCCTGACAGCGGCACTACGGCCTACTCTTATATCGAATTCCAACTGTCAAGGGATCTTTTACGTGCATGCCAATGTGTACTCGGGACCCCAGTTATTCATCCCATCCGAACGACTAGACAGCTGTACTTGTCAGGCCCTCCATCCTGCATTACTGACATGGGGGAACCACGCCGGAAAATCTGGATGAACTTTCTCGGCAAATGCAGGGATTGAACACCCGACCTCCAGGCTAGCGAGCCAGCGTCTTACCCACTTAGCCACCGTGATCCCCGAAATTTGGATAAAACAACCAGTTAGCTTTAAAACAATGATGTTTATTTTCATTCATCTGGCTTTAAAACTCTTGGTCGGTATATAACACATAAAGGTCCAGACTTAAGGCAGATTTTCAGACCATACACAATATTTAATGATTGGGTTAATGATGACAGACATATTACATAGCATTGACAATAATTATACATGCTGGAGTGGTTAGAAGGTGCAAGATAAAGTGGAGTGCTTTCATATCTTTAAAGATACATTATGGGAGATTTGATAACGAGTTGGCAGTTCTCACTATAATAGTTAAAAACTAGATAATGTAAAGGCAATTTGCTGAAAATTTCATTCAAATTGATCCACAATGAACCGAGAACTGAGCGATTGAAATTTCCGCAAAGCCTTGATCATCATCACTAAAGTCAGTACAATAAACAGCATACATGTAGTCTTGATTATTCACAATCGTTAAATCGTGAAGGAAAGTTATGCAGTAAATCGGCTCATAATTCACTAAAGATCGCAGGCTAGCGATGCCATCTAGAGTTGATTATGGTCTGGATAGGTTAATTAATGTCTAATTAATAATTTAGATAACATTTCAGGCCTAAAGAAAGACCTGCAATAGACCGATTTAGCTCTTGCATATATGTTTAATACATTTCTATACTACAGTTATATCATACATAACATTTACACTATACAGTTCTATTAGACATTTACACTATACTACTGGCCCCGACTTCACCAAGCAAACACAGATAAATTAAGAATTTACTCAACTTTCAATCACTGTTTATGAGAAATATCTTTGATCCAGAAACACAAAACTTTGCACATAGTTTCTTATTGATGTATTTGATACATTAAATTAATAAAAATTTGATAAATTTCTATATTTTAGTTAAAAATAAGGCAAACAATTTTGAGTAAATTCTTAACTTAAATCTGAGAATGCTTTGTGAACGCAGGGACTGGTCTATTATACAAAAAATAAGGTTAGACATTTACATGTACACTACACTACACATGGATTATCAATATTCCTATAAAATAGCAATTTTCTGAATTCTTTGGAAAGCAAATATACTAATCTCTAGCGCATATTCTTATAATTCCGACAAGATCGTAATACATGCTTAAGTTGTGTTTTATCCTGATTTTTGAGATAAAAATTCTTAACCTAATGTGTTTTCTATTTTCCTGGACAACTCAGATAAATATTTATCTTACATGAAACGTGTAACACATGGGTATCTTAGCAACACTTATTTTAGTTTCTTTGTTCAATAATTGACAAGAAGATGAATTCAATCGTAAAAGATATTCTGCCAATACAGCAATTTTATCTGAAGGAGTGGATACAATAAATTTCTTCTGGCTGTGTTTCGCATCAATCAAGCACCACAGTAAACTTCATTACACAATCTCACCTTTTTGACTATCTTTAAAGCATGCGTTTGCCATGCAAGACATGCTCACATTTAACAAGAGACGGACAGAGAACAAGCTAAAAAAAAAGTTAAAGTCAGAACGATAAAAAATAAAGCCTCGATTATCCATTTTTATGTTTAATTATTCTTCAAAAAATGTATTCC